TGGGCGGTCCCCTGGGTTGCTGATGGTATGTGGGCCCCCAATCCTGTGACCACACCCCTGGCTCCTGACTTCCTCTCCGGCCCCAGTCTTGGAGTGGCCGTGTGGCCTTTGACCTTGGAGCAAGGCCGTGACCGGACCCTGTGGTCAATGCTGAGGTCGGGTGCAGACGCAGCAGCCCCAGTGCTGTGGAAACTGGGCTGGGCGGCTTTCCCGAGAGCCCCTGAGTGAGGCTCCGCTTTGCTGGGTATGGGCAGTGCCAGCTGAGCTCCTGGGCGGGCACTTGTCCCCCCCAAGGCACAAGTCGCAGCGACTCTTGATAACAGGTGTGTGTTGGGGGGGGGGCAGGGAGCTGGGGTGCCCTGATGCACTTTGGGAAACAGCTCTTGAGGTTCTGGCCATTGGGGTTACTCTAAGGACTCAGGGTTTATGTAACACTGCCCTGCGGTGCCTTGAGGGGCAGTGTGTCTGTGTGTGCACATACGTGCGTGTGCGCGTACGTATGTGTGCGTGCATGTGCATGTGCGCGCACGTGTGTACGTGTAAAGATGTGCGCACACGTGTACACCTGTATGTGTGTGTGTATACATGTGTGCGTGTGTGCGTATTTATATGCATGTGGTGTGTGCATGTGTGCGCATGCGTACATATGTGTGTGTGTGCGTGTGTTTGGGGCTGTGTGCCTGGGCATGGTCAGGGTAAGCTGAGAGTGGAGGAAGTACAGTGGCCCCCGTGAGCACCCTGCAGGAGTGAGAGGGTCAGAGCAGGAGGACTGAGGCTGGGTGTCTTTCAGGTCCCTGAGGGGTCATCTCGGAGACTCTTGGCTCTGCCCGCAGTGGTGACTCTGTTGCCATTGGGCCCTGGACCTGGGATGGAGGGGATGGACTGCGGGCAGCAGATGACCTTGGCTTTGACCACTGTGGGGGGACCCCCTCCCGCCGTGGAGTTTCAGCTGAGAACACTGTTGTGCCTGTGCCTGAGGCTGGCAGTGTGTTGGTGTGGCCATGTCTGAGGGGTGTGGGTGTGTCCTGGGCAAGGGTGACCGGACTGAACTGTCCTGTGGGGGGTGGGAGGGTGGTCAGGATTGTTCTGCTGCCTGCCCTAGTTGGGTGCTGCACCCATGGGTGTGGTCCCAGGCTTTGCAGCCCCCTCCCAGACTTGGCTGCGGGTTATAGGAGGGTGGGGTCTGCAGCCCACAACAGGAGCCTGGGCTCAGAGAGGCAGACTGCCCGACACTGCTACAGCATCTCTTTTAAGCCAGCTGTTGCTTCTGCTCTTGAGTTTGTGGCTCATCGCTGCCCAGTGGAAGCTGGCCTCTGACCTGGGAAGCCCCCCGAGTGCAGAGCGGGATGGGGTGACCTTTCCAAAGAAGCTTGTTTGGCTTCCCGGCCTGCCTCAGAGGCGCCAGTGAGCAGGCTCAGCTGCCCACCTTGGGGTTAGCTGAGCCATGGGGCTGCTGGCCCGGGGCCCCAGGCCTCTCCCACCTCCCAGTTTCCTGCAGGAGCCCCGGTGATACAGTGGGTTATGGGTCGGGCTGCCAACTTCAAAGCCAGCAGTTCAAACCCACTGTCTGCCCCTTGGGAGAAAGAAGAAGCTTTCTACTCCCGTAAAGAGACAGTCTCGCGATCCCACAGGGCAGTTCCACTCTGTCCTCCAGGGTCATGGTGAGGGGCACCGACTCAGTGGCAGGGAGTGAGTGGTCCCCCAC